CCTGGAAAGGTATCACTCAGGGTAATTTAGGAGCTGGTACTCTTGTTGGCTTGTCAAATTATGGTGAAATCCCTAGCTTTATTTTGGATTAAATTGTCCTTGACTTTCACCATAATTGCAAACTGTTGGGCATATGATGCAGAAGAGAAATTAGATCTGGCATGGACTGTGATGTCCTTAGGATGTCTGTTTCAGGGAAGGCAGGCTTGACTATGCTGTGGTAACAAATATACCTTGAAATCTCTTTATATTTTAGTCAAGTCACACTTCAATGCAGGTCAAACAGCTTTCCTGAGCAGCCACCCACCAATTGCTGACTTTGGAATGAAGGCTGGTTTTTCTTTTTGTCCATATGAAATATGCACAATATGTGTTAACACTGAAAGGGAATACAAAGACAGAAGATTGTGCAGTACTGTATTAAGGCTGGGTCTCAAAGCATCTCAACTTATTTCTGTTAACATTATATTGACCAGTCACATGGTCCTCAACTTGTAAGAATAACATATGCAATAGTCATATGTATATGTGCGTAGGAAGAAGAAATTGTTGAACACGTAAAAGTCTCAGTCAGAGTCCATAGTCTGGTCAACAAAATATCTGTCTCATACTTCCTCTCACATATCAAACTCACGAACTCCTCCGATAGGGAACAATCCAATGTTTCCCCAGTTACTACATTCGTCTCAGGATTTAAATCTCTGTCCTTTCTACCAGAACAATATATGTCTCCTCAAGGTTGGATGACTTATGAACCAAAATGGCAAATTATTTGAACCCCCACTTTACCACCAAATACAGGACGACTACCATGAATATTCTGAATTGGGAAGAAGGAGCATAGGTAAAACACTACAATCAATATTGTTTAGTCATTCTGAACTACACAGATAATTGTGGAAGTCTCACTCACTGAACTTGTGAGGTAATAAGAATTCTTCTCTAGGGGACCAGCAGTTAGCGTAATGGCTATGTCGCTGGACTCTCATGTAGTTGACCGCAGTTCGAGTCCTGGACCCGGTGGCTTAAATTCACACTGGGCACGTGTGTGTGTGTGCCCAAGATACTGAGAGGAGAATGGAGGAGAAGGGATTGCGGTGTGACCATCCTCCCTGGGGGGTGATTTCTCGCTTTTGTCTCCTGTCTCTCTGTCTCTCTCTGTCTCTGTCTCTCTTTGTCTTTCTGGCCAGCTCACGCACCCCATAGCAGAAACCTCTAAAAAAAAAAAAAAAGAATTCTCTGGGAGGAATTACCTCGTCACTTCTTGGGGGCCTAGCTATACCCTCTTGCAGCCTCTTGTCATTATTTTCCTTAGGCACATTTGAATGAGTTTGGAGAGCCTGCCCTCCCCGGATGAAGCAGCCAAAGACTGCTTTCTGTATGTCAGAGTACAATAATTGATTTTATTATAACATTCAATTTAGAAAAATGACTTTTGTCAAGACTGGAACTATAGTTTCCTTGATAATATAACTCTCTCAAAAATTGGGAAGATTTCTAATATATTTGCTCCAGCCAGTTCTATGTAACCATAAGCACACTAGAGTGCCTATGGCTACTTCCTTACTCTTATACCTCTTTTCCATTCAACTCAGTAGTGGCTACCTCTGAGCTCTCTGAACAATCGGGATTGAGGCACTTCTCTACTCTGATCTTTGCCCTGAGTAATTTCATTCAACTGGAAAGTATTTTACTATTCTTTGTTACTCAGTCTTTTTAGTTCAAGCTCTACAATCAGTTGGGTTTTTCAACTCTGAAAGACCATGTGTTTTAGAACTCTTTTTCATTTCTGCTTGTAAGCTTATTTTTCTTTGAATTAATTTTTTTATGGTATTACTTTATAAAATGTAGTTAATAATAGATAAGACACACCAGAGCTGTGAAACATTTTAACATCTAACTAGAAATGAATAGTAAACAGTCAATCTTCCTTCTAAATTAGAGTACACACTTGTTTTTTGGCAAAACTTTTGTCACATTCTCATCCTAAGTAGCTGTTCCTTCATCACAAGCAATCTCTCTTAAAACTTACATTTTTGTATTTTGTTGGAGCAGCACCTAACTTCAAGGTATCGATTACTCTACTAGGGTAAGTAACATTAGTATCTTTAAGCTCATGACAAAAACCTCATTGACTTGATAAAATATACCTAATATTAATTATTAATACTTAGTAAAATAATACTATTACTCTTTCCACATGAAAAAAAAAATCTCTTTATTCCTCATTTGTCCTATAGGGTCAGAACTTGGGACATGGCAAGCGTTAAAAAGAACAAAAATCTATATGTTATTATTACTAATATTAGAAGTCACAGAGAGTTACAAAAGCAAATGAACAGAGCTATTTGGTGAGGATTAAAGAAAACAGTAAGCAACATTTTGAAGACAGTGTTAGGAGAGACACTCAATATGTTCATGTGCTAGGGCTCTTCTATCATAGTACCACAACTGAGTGATTGAAACAACAGACATTTATTGTCTCACAGTTCTGGAGGCTAGAAGTTAGAGATCATGATATTAGCAGTCATGGTTCCTTGTGAGGCTGTGAGGAAGAATCTCTTCTAGGCCTCTTTGTTGGCTTCTGGTGTTTTTTTGGCAATTTTGGGCCCTTCTTGACTTGCAAAAACATCACCCCAACTCTGCCCTCATTTTCACCTGGTATTCTTCCTGTGTGTGTGTCTGTCTCTAAATATTCCCCTTGTCCAAAGGTATCAGTCATGTTAGAATAGTGCCCATCTTAATAGCCTTATCTAAACTTGATTGGGGTATAAAGACTCAATCTCCAAATAACTTACATTCTGAAGTCCTGGTGGCTTGGATGTCAATGTATGGATTTTACAGGGACATGATTCCACCCAAAGCATAGCATTTTTTAATTCTTAATTGTAAGAAAACCTATATGTTCACCAGTGAGAGAGAGAAAGCATCCTCAGCAGGGTGTGTTCACACTGCAGTTTTTTTTCTCCATTTCTCTATCTCATCAGGATTTGAGGCATTCAGACACATGTGCCTGACATGTTTTTCAAGTCACTGGGGCTGGGATTCAAACTGCAGTTAGCCATGTAGGATCTGGCTACTTTAATTGCCAAGTTACTGGGCCAGTCCACTATATTTCTTTAAGTCACATTTTTACATAGTGGTTCTCTCCAGTATCTTCAAGAATAGGATCTAGGCAACTGTATTAAAAATAAAGTGTGTTCCTTCCTATTTATTGGGCATTATTATGCTGAAATTAACATATTGCAATGTCCTCAAAATAATTTCTGTTACTTTCTATACTTTAAGTTCAAGATGGCCTCTGTCAGCTGTGTATTTTAATGAAGGATTGGTTGTGGCAGACAAAAATAATCAGGTGAGCAGAGTACACTTTTAAAGGGTTGTCTATGGGAACCAGCAGTTAGCGTAATGGCTATGTTGCTGGACTCCCACATAGTGAACCGCGGTTTGCGTCCTGGACCCGGTGGCTTAGAACTCATGTCGGGAGCATATGCGTGCATGCCCAAGATCCCAAGAGGAGAATGGAGGAGAAGGGATTGCGGCGTGGCCATCTCCCCTGGGGGGTGATTTCTCGCTTTCTGTCTCTATGTCTCTCTCTGTCTGTCTGGTGAGCGCACGCGCCCTATAGCAAAAACTTCTCAAAAAAGAAAAATAAATAAAATAAAGGGTTGTCTAAGAGACAGCTTCATTCTGTGTTTTATCTATAGTGTTATATAAAGTCTTTTATTGCAAAAGCATTTCACAATGTTAAAGAAACCTTAATAGTAGTCTTAAATGAATATTTAACAAATTTGGATCAGGAAACCCATTGAGGCATTCATTTAATTAAAACTGATATCTTCATCATTTTCAGTATTTATTGATATTTACACTGTTATATTCTTATGTGAACTTCCCATATTATTTACAATGTGATGTACCATAAATCTGTAGCTATGCTAAAGAAAAATTAATACACACTTTAGGTCATAAGTATTGTTAAATAAGCTATTTTTGTGGGACCAGCAGATAGTGTAATAGCTATGTCGCTGGACTACCATGTAGTCGAACGCAGTTTGCATCCCAGACCTGGTGGCTTAAAACTCATGCCGGGCACATGTGCCTGCGTGCTTAAGATCCCGAGAGGAGAATGGAGGAGAAGGGATTGCAGTGTGGCCATCCCCCCCTGGGGGGTGATTTCTCGCTTTCTGTCTCTCTCTCTCTCTCTTGTCTGTCTGGCGAGCACACGCACCCTATAGCAAAAACCTGTCCAAAAATTAAATAAATAAATAAATAAACTATTTTTATAGTCAGGTTGTTTTATTAAACTGTGGAATTATTCTGATATGGATAAAATGTTCAAAGATTTAGGTTTGCTTGTTTTTGCTCTAAACTACACACTTGCTTTTGTTTACTCTGTCTAAAGTGTCATCAAGAAGGAAAGCAGGGTTGGTCTGAGGTCAAGTATCTGAATAGTCAAAGTTTAACAGCCTCTCCTTTGCTCAGTTTTCTGTTCATCTCATCTTATGATAGCCTTCCTTCCCCAGAACATAGTTCTTCAATAGCATCATCTTGTTTCTGGCTACAACTTCTTTTTTCATTACCAGCCTCTAGAAGGGTGGGTAGCAGATTTCAAATACTCAGAAAATATATTTGATTGAATAAAGGAATGAATGATTCAATTGCTAAGATAACTGTAGGTCCAAATTCTACTTTAAAGTCTTTTCCTTATTTTACACTCTTTTTGGATGTTTCTCAGCACATATAGGTATTAAAATATACTTATAATGATTAACATTATAGTATAATGATCGGCCTTCACAAAGTAACTTAATAAATCTCTATTTCATAATATTTTGACAAATGTAACAAAAAAAATTACACTGTGACCAGGTCTGTTTTTGGCTGGTTTTCAAAGTAATAAAGCTAATCCTGAGAGGAGGGACTGACTACACAGCAGATATAAAATATATACTTATTTATTGATGATGAAGACAAGAATTCAAATATTGGAATCTTACCTTATATTTCAAAGTCTGGGTTCTGTTATATTTCACTAGAAAAAGAATTTTCACTTCATCACCAAAAAGAATAGGAAACTCCCCAATAGTCCCTGATAATCTTACTTACATAGTTTATGTTCATGAGGTTAAATTTTGATCAAAGAAGATGTCAGGTGGGAAGTATTTTCCTGTTTCACTTATAGTTAGTGGACAGTTTCCTGTCAGCCTGGAAAAATAGGGAACAGGATGTTGTGTGGCAATGTGACAAAGCAGATTTTGTACAGGAAAAGGGGGCTTAAAAGTCAAGTAAGCCAAGTTGAAAAAACCAAATGTTATTGGTTATGTCTATTGAGATATTTAGAAATTCAAATGTTATATTACCAAGGGAATATTTAAATGAGATTTTGCAGTAATGAACACAGAGACACCTAATCATGAACTAAATTTTCTACTAACCTTAATTTCAAAAACTCTTCAGCCTAATAATCTTATAAACAGCTATCTATATTTTGAAAATCCTAAGGCACTGGATTAAATTCAGAGTATATTTCCCACAACAACCAAAAACATCATAGAAGGTCACATTCTCTTTATCCAGACATCTGGACTGGGAATTCTCAATGGGACTTGTTCCAAAGACATGATTATGTGAGTCTTACCCATATATACTTCTTTAACATATTAAAGTAGAGAGGAAATGGTTATAAAAAATACATTTCAAAATTTGACAAATTATTCACATTCTCAAGAATATTTTTAAGCTCTGTCTAGGTAACTACCAAATAAATAAAATATTCAGACAAAGTTTTTACTACTTATAAATTTGCAGGTTAAAATATAATACTTAAAATTAACATTCAGAATTATAAAGACAGCTAATTGAACCTTGAAAAAAATTACACTAATGTGAACCAAGAGTCTAAGTGAATAACATTTTCCAAATGGATGAGTCTAACTTGAATTTGGATTTCCTGATCTCAGTCCAGTTCACTGTCCATTTGCTCAAGAGTCCAGATTTCTTTTATTTTTAGAGAGATTTTTGCTATAGAGTGCGTGCAATCGCCAAAGAGACAGAAAAAGATAGAGAGACAGAAAGTGAGAAATCACCCCCCCCCCAGGGGGATCACCATGCCACAATCCTTTATCCTTCTTTCTCAGGATTTTGGGTACGCACGCACATGTGCCTGGTGTGAGGCTGAAGCAACCAGGTCCGGTGGTGGCTTGAACCATGATTGACCATGTGGGAGTCCAGCAATGTAACCAATATGCCATCTGCTGGTCCCAAGAGTCCAGATTTCTTAACTGTCCACTAAAAGGAGAACTTGAATTGCATAAGAAAAATGCATGGTTTGAATTCCAGTTTCTGGGACAAGAGGTAGTGTGGAGGTTAAGTTGTTCAGATCACATGGACAATTGCACAGATCAAGTCCCAGACTCGGTAACTTGAAAACCACACCAGGCACACATGCATGCCCAAATCCTGATGGGAGAATAGGGGTACTGTGGTGTGACCATCCTCAATAAAGGACGATTTTTCACTTTTTCTCTCTCTATCCCTCTCTCTCTGTCTTCCTAGGGTGAGTGCATGCACCTGATAACAAACTGAGATATACTAATAGATAGATAGATAGATAGATAGATAGATAATTTTCAGCTGCTCCAGCTACTGTGTGAACTTAAAAAATGCACTTCTCCATTCTGAATTTTAGTTTCCTTCTGTCAAACTTTTTAACTATACAAATATAAATAGTTAAGACCAAAGAGCTAAACAAACAACAGAAAACCACAGATAGCCTTTATTTCTACTAGAAGGAAAATGTCATAGCTTAATCTCTCCTGGATTCCATTCAGGTAGTCTTATAGGAAGGTGGGTATATACCTGGGGTTCACGTGCAGGAACTGTGTATCATTATTAACAACTGCTGTGTTAGAGCTTTAAAGTATTTTACAAACCTCCAGGCTATTATTATAATGCAACTCATCAATATGTAAAGCCAATTAGCAGAAAGATATTGAAGAGGGTCAAAGGTTGGAAATACATACATTTGCTATTTTATTTCCTTTTCTATTTCCTGAAAGAGAGAGAGTAAAAATCTCTCCATAATTCTATCTTAAGCACAATAAAGAATTCTCCAAAGATGCTAGCAACTCATACCTTCAGTATGGGGGCCCCTGACTATTTCTAAAATAATCAGTAACATGGGGGAAGAGATTATATCACAGGATTAGAATTAAAGATCATTCTTACAGTAGAGACTTGGCAAGTTTTCTTGAATCACAAGTGCTGTGATTGTTATGAGAGGTTGTTATCTGAATAAAACTAGGCTTCTGGTAGGCAGGCAGAAGAAGATAATACCCCTGGATTGAAATGAACAATATTAAATAATATATAATTATAAAGTTACAAGACAGAAAGATAAATGAGAATATTATGAATAGATAACATATATTATTTTCTAAGTAGTATCAGATTTGCAATCAATAATACTGAATGCTAGAAGACAATAGAGTAATGCAGTTTACTCTAATTTCTCAGGGGGAAAAAACATGATTTCTAAATCTAGAATTATATTCCCAGCCAAACTATCAACAAAAGATAAGAGCAGAGAAAACACAATTTCACATAAAGACATAGGTGTTTTATTTTGTATGTATCAATTCTGAGGAGGTTATTTGAGGATATACCTCAGAAAAAATAAAAGTTTTTTAAAAAAGGTATATATATTGAAGACTTTGGGTTAGAACCTCTTTGGATAATTGATCCTATGAGCTTGCCCTCACTCCCTCTTAGTTTTACAATGACACTACTAGGTCTTTTTTTTGGGGGGGGGAGGTTTTTGCTATAGGGTGCGTGTGCTCGCCAGACAGACAGAGAGACAGAAAGCGAGAAATCACCCCCCCAGGGGGGATGGCCACACCGCAATCCCTTCTCCTCCATTCTCCTCTCGGGATCCTGGGCGCGAACGCACACGTGCCCGGTGAGAGTTTAAGTCACCAGGTCCAGGACTCGAACTGCGGTTGACTACATGGGAGTCCAGCAACATAGCCATTACACTAACTGCTGGTCCCAACTACTAGGTCATTTTAAAAAGGTAATTTTTAAACCAAAGACAATGAAAAAAGAAGAGAGAAGAAAACATTAGAAGGATCAGTCAACAAAATTTTGGAAAACAAGAGAGGGTAAAAATTTAATTGTCTAGAGAAAGCTAAAAGTTAGTGTCTGGCATAGGTAATACCAAGCACAAGCTAGTTTTCACTTAGGGTATAATGAAAAGAAAAAGATACTGGATACAACAGGTATCCTTGAAAATTAGATGTAGGTAGGGCTGGAAACAGAAGGGCTGGTGCACCGTCAGTGTAAGAATAATTGGTAACCCTGTATTTTCTCCCATACCACACTGTCAGGTAGTAACTTTTCCATACTTGGTAAAAAGCAGAGACTTAGTCTTTAAAGTTCACATTTTGTGATATTAACTAAAGTAGGGACAACTTAATGAAAAAGAAAAATTAAATGAATGTTTGTATTCTGAACACTGAGATACTAAAACTACCTCCCTGACTGTGCTCTGAGAAGGGTGAGTATTGGAGGATTTCTCTCTGGGAAATGTAGTTATCCCAAGAATAAAATATGTAGAGGTATAAATCATATCCCTCCATTAGCAAGGTCTTTCTCCTGAAACTTACTGCTTGATAAGTACTTCACAATTTCCACTCTATTCATACACATAAACTTCCAACATATTTTTAGTATCTTAGTCATAATAGAAACAGAAATTCAAAGATGATCAAAGATGTATTGAAAATGACTATCATAAAAGACTGACAACAAATCCCATAGGAAAAAAAAATGAGGAAAAAGAAAATCTCATGAAAATAAAGTCCTCAAAGAGGAATCTATACCTGCTGGCCAGAGATACAGGAGAAAGAAAAACAAGGATAGGTTACTGTAAGATGAAGCTCTATACATTTTAAACAAATCTAAAAAAATAAAATATATAACTAAAAGCCAGTCAGTGGTAACTCGACACTGTGAGTCTGGCCCACGTGAGAAGCTTCTAGATTCAGATCTGGAGATCTCCCTAAACACACTGGGCCTACATATACCTGTGATCCCAGGTTGCAACTGGGGATGAACTACAGTGTGAAAATCTGCTTGAGGGTTCTCTCTCTCTCCCTCTGCCTACCTATTATCTATCTATCTGTCTGTCTCTATCATCTATCTTCCTCTCTCTCTTGCTCATGGAAGAAATGAATAAAATTTGAAAAATAGTATTAAAATACATAAATAAAAATGCAGTGAAGGTTTAGAAGACAAAGCTAAAGAAAACTTTACTTATTAAGAAAATGAAAGTGACACTGGGCCAGCAGGTGGTGTGGTGGTTAAGGGTGCTGGACTCCCACAGGGGCCTATAGTAGTTCAAGTCCCAGACCTGGTGGCTTGCTTTCTCACTTTCTCTTTTTCTCTCTCTCACTCTGTCCCTCTCTGGTCAAATTTTAAAAAGTAAAGAAAAAAATAAAATAAAGTTCAATAAAATAATTTTTAAGAAAAGAAAATGAAAGTGACCCAGTGGGTAGATAGAGGAAAATCAAAGATTAGGAAACAAAATTTATATCCAAAGATACACAAAATGATGATGATAATGAGTTCCAGAGAAAGAAATAAGGAAACATGTCAAAATTGATAAAAAGCCACAACTTTCACAACTGAGATGGCTCAGTAAGTTCCTAGCACAGTGACTGAAGGTATGGGGCAATATACAATGACATTTCAGAAGATGGAGGGCAAAGAGGAAACTCCTGAAAGCTCCCAGGAAGGGACTAGGATAGAGAAGGAGTGTACATTCAATGGATCAGGAAACAGAATGGTGTGAGACTACTCAAAATACAGGAAGTTAGAAGCCAATGAAGCACTATGTGTAAAAATAGAGGCAAAAACCAGTCAGTGGTGTAGTGGCTAAAGTAGCTGGATCCTATGTAGTTGACAGTGCAGTTTGAGTCCCAGACCCAGTGTCTTGAAAAACACACAGGCACGAAAACAGCAAATGGTGGAGCTGACTGCAGGCTGAGTCCTGGACCTGATGGCTTCAAAATGTCAGGCATGTGGGTGTATGTGCCCAAGATTGTCGGCATCCGCCCCCAGGCTTAGCGCTATTATGGAAGAAGCAGAAAAGATGAGACAAAAAGATAGAGTGGAAATGGACACAGGCAGCCTGAGCCTAG